CAGACAGCTTACAAAGATTTGCTTTTTTTTTTGTACAGGGGCACAAAAAGCACCTGATATATGCTTTGAGAAAGCAAATATTAAAGGAGATAGGTTTGGAAACTGTGGAATGAAAGGTGGAGTGTACAAGAAATGCCCTGTCCAGTAAGTCACCAGCAAATAAAACTAACCCTAAAATTTTCAATGTAAAAAATGTATGCTCTTACAAACCCTTAAAGTGTGAGATTTAGAGAATATTTCCTCAAAATGCAAGCTAAAAAATTTGACTGGATGGTGTATTTTCACTGATACTGGGGTTTTTTCTGTTCACCTTGTCTCTGAGTGTCCTTCATTCAATACAGGCACAGTCTGTGTGGCAAACTCCAGTGCACATCTGTCAGTCTCCAAAACCTTCCTGCCTGGAGTGTTGTCAATAATGCATCTGGGGTTTTATGCTGGTCTTCTGACTTTGACTTAGGGACAGATATCCCTGATCCTGCTCAAGTTCATGAAGGGACAGCCTGTGGAGAAAACAAGGTAAGAGGCATCACAGCAGCATGATGGAATATATCCCACCAAGTGGAAAGTTCTTAACTTCCAAAGGCATTACACAGCTCTCTTGTTTGTGTGTTGTAATACAATGAAAAACCTGCTTTTTGAAATCTACAGAAACAATTAATTAGCTCTGCAAAAACTGGGATGCTACAAATCAGTCAACTACATTATCAGTTATTCAAATTATTCCATCAAACTGCGTCCACAGGGTTAAGAAAATGTGATAAAAATACAGCTATAAAATTGAGAGGTTCTGAATGTTCTATCACCCCTTTTTCTTGACATTTAAGTGAAAGCTGTAGCCTTGTTGTAAACATATGCATTTATACAGTATATTTATAAAGGGATGGGATTTTTGTTTAGTTTTGTGTTTGCAAGACTCTAATTACTTCTTCCAGGCCTGTGTAGGTTTTGAATGTGTTGATGCAACGTTTCTGGGCTACAGCTGTGATGTAAAGCAGAAATGTAATAATAATGGGGTGAGTAGATGGTGCTTCATGTTTCTAGACTGGTTCAAGTTCCCTGCATAAAAGCAACAACCAGCCAGATGGCTTTGCTTCTTTTCTGATCTGTATTAAAAGTTAAATCCACTTTTTTACCTGTAATTCCTGTTGCCAGGGCAAACCTCTTAGCACTAACATTGAAAGGCAATTCTTCAGATTTTCCCAAGGGAATTTTTTATTATCACTAAGCTGTTAAATTGCTAAAGGAAAATATTCATTTGAGGAAGATGGTCTAGTAAGTCCTGATTTATATATGCCTCTGTGAAAAATCAAAATGGAGTCCCAAAGGCCATAAAACCGAGTTCTTCGGACTGTAATTTATTGGAGGCAAATAACAACACAAATGTTAATTTTTACAGAGAATTCCCCTGAGGTATCAGGCTCACTCAGTGATTTGGGATGTTATGGAGGGGGAGAGCTTATTCTCAGTTAACACTTCATGTATTTCTATGCAATACTGTGCAGTATTCCTTGTTTCCTCATGCAACTCCTTACGAGGAATTCCAGGTCCCTACTCGGGGCCGCTCTCAGAGAGGTGTTGCTGTTTGACTAATCCCCGTGTAAGGGCTGTAGGTGTGTTACAACAATGGGAACTGCCACTGCCTGGCTAATTAATCCCTGTTGTACTGGTGTAGGTGTGTAACAACAACGGGAACTGCCACTGCAATGCAGGATGGGCCCCTCCGTTCTGTAACCAGTCCGGCTACGGAGGCAGCGTTGACAGTGGTCCTGCCCACACAGGTAGGACACTGAAACTGGCCTTCCTTCTGCCCCAGGGTCTCATAAAATAAACTACTAATAGCAGGGGTTTTTTCAGTTTATTTTCAGCTGTTTTTTTTTTCTACTGCATGAGACACTTAGTTGTGGACTTGAAGAGCAAACATTATTATCTGATAATGAAGTAGCATTGCTGGGCTTTACGCTTTGCACACAAAATGTTTTCCCTCTTTGTTTAAAAACGAAGTTCGCAATCTGTAGCTTTGTGAGGAGAGAAATAATTCACATTTTACCAGATTTTACTAAATTTGTGTTTTGGGAAAGGGAAAAAAAAATGTTTTGTGTTTATTAAAAGTTTAGGAAGGCAAAGAGGATGTGCAGAGCAATTGTGGGCGAGCAGATACAAAGTCACAGAGTCACAGAATATTCTGAGTTGGAAGGGACCCACAAGGATCATCAAGTGTGTTGAAGAAATATATGGAAAAGGAAAAAGTTTGTATATCATGGAACACAGGGGGGTTAAATGCAGAAAGAACATAAGGCCAAATCCTACTTTTCTGATCGTAGCATTTTATAAATTTCAGTGAAGTCTCAACTGAAAATAGTTTGAAGGTTGTACTGTTTACAACAGAAGAAAATGCTTTAATATTGTAAATTTCATTATTTCAATTCTTTTTTTCTCTAGACACATCACTTCGGGATGGGCTGCTTATCTTCTTCTTCCTTGTGCTGCCAGTTGCCATCGTTGCTGCATTAGCAATAATTAAACGGGATGCAATCAGGAGAAAATTTTGCAGGAAGAGTAGAAGACAGCACAGGTATTTCCCTTCTTACAGGTGCTATTTGGACACATGAAAGCAGGCTCCAGGTTAATTTAGCAAGCCCAGGTAGATGCTTTATCTACATAAAGAATTCCACACCCCCTAAAAGACAAGCTTTCCCTGCTAATAGCAGTAGCAGGTAGTTCAGTCCCCTGCTATTTAGTAGTTTAATCCAGATACTCCAGTTGTCAGTTCTCAGGTGTTTTTCCCAAAAAACATTGCACTTGCCTAATTGTTATTGATTGTATTGCCCATGGGGACAGAGCACATTGGAATGGCCTGTCAAGTCCAGACAGGGCTGGACTCACAAGCAGAATCCAGACCCTCTGAGTTGTAGCCTTGTCCTTTGAAAATGCTGCATCCCTGAAGCAATTTTCTGATCACATGGTTTCTATTTCAGGGATAACAATGTGCAGGAAGCAAAGCAAGATAACAAACCAAGTCATGACACAAGAAATAATCAGGTGAGAGATGCATACTTGCATTATTGGATGTTAATGCAAACTCTGCAGTGCCTTTTCTCTAACATAATTATGACTGTGTGGCTTTTTGATACATTGAAACCACCTGCATTTCCAAGTATTTAATATAGTTTAGAATGTAGTAAAGAGGATTTCTGTGTGGGTAAGTAGGAGCTTTATTGCCTGCCCTGTCAGCACAGGCTGTGAGTGGGATGGGATGGGACAGGCTGTGATTCAGCAGAGCAGCCAAAGACTGAACAAAGAATTCTGCAGCCAAACAGTGGGAAATGCTGCTTAACCAGGCTATGGAACTAGTTCTGATTAAACAGTGAAGCTAAAAGCTACCAAAACAAAATGTTGCAAGAGAATATGAAGAATGTCCCCCCAAAAATGAAAACTAGTTCTTAAATACCATTATCTTAATACTGAATAATTGCATACACTTTGTGTTTTCTGTTAACCTGATTTTCTACAACGTGTTTTCCAGCCTGCCACATCAAGTCCTGATATTTTTACCATATTGCATTTTCCTGGTACAAGGTTTGTAGTACTTAAAACCTTCTTCACTTCACATTCTCTGTGTTTCCATTGCTGTATCACTGCATATGAAGTTCCTGATGTCTCGTGTCCTGTTTAGGAGAATTTTTCATGCAGCATCATGAGCTATAATAGATTGAATGCCTGAGGGAGAAATGCTGTTTTACTGCTTGTTTAGAAAACAGCATAAATGCAGGTAAATTCTACAGGAAGGGGCAGAGAGAGTTAGGTATAAATGTATGTATAAGTGCTAGAAACTGTTTAAAGAATGGTGAAGAACCACTTTAGAAATACCAGTTGTCTCAAGTAATGAAAATCTAAACATAACGTGTTTTCCACGCTTCAGGCACCCAGTACAAACCCAGTTTCCTGCAGTTCCCTCAGGACCTCAACGACCCCCAGTCCCACCTAGACCAGTGGTCTGAAAAGCTTCTTGGGAACCCTCAACCAATTCTGACAAGTAACTGGCCTGAAAAAAAACCAAATTACAAGATTTCAATCCTCCAGTCCTCTCCTTGTGCGGCCAAAATGCCTTTGGGAAGCACGTACCTCTGGGAAAGACTGGATGCCAAGAGGCACTGAACGCAGATTTGGTGACTCCCAATGTTTTGCTACTTGCTGCTGGCTGTGTTTGTGCCTCCTCTACCTCACCTCTTGGTTTTTCAAATCAGAAGCCTGAAGTTCAACACTCATAGGATCACACTTGTGACAGTGTGTAAGTCTGAGGTGCAGGCCAAGGAGAAGTGAATTCGTTTATTTACAGACATGATTTATTCAGCTCTGGGGACAGTCCCTGGGCACTGCTCTGAGACCTGCCTGCCATCAGCCCTTCAAAGCTGGGGCACAGAGCCCCCCTCTCATCACCACCAGCTCTGTCCCTTTCCATTTCAGGTAGTTTATAAAAGTAACCTCATATATGGGGACACCAGAAACACTGTGCCTGAGTCTGAAAGAAACTGTCCAGCTGCTGTTATAGAAAATGTGGGATATTGGGAAATACACTGTACAACTCAACAGTGGTTCAGTGTTTACTGCTTATTGCAGCTCGGGATTTTTGCTTTTGTCCACTACAAAAGCAACAGATTAACTTCTGTCATTCTAAATGAGACAATTAAGACACCACCACTGATTTAAAATGGAACGTATGGAGTGACACAGCTTGTCCAAACGGGTCCCCATCCAATGTTTCCATCCAGGAGAGGGATCCAGAAAATCTCAGGAAAAAAGTCTCCATCAAAACGGAGAAGCAGCTGCTGTGCAGAGACCAACTCGGTGGGAAGGACAAAACTGTGGATACAGATCCACCTGTCCAACAGGGAGTAACGAACAGACTGGCTGTGTTTGTGCCAATTTGGGAGTATGAACTAGGAAAAAGAGTGAAAAAAATATAGAATTGCCTCACCAACAAAATATTTCTAAGCCCTCAGATGGCCACATCACCGAAGAACTGGACAAAAGAACCCAAAATGTATTGCAGGCAAAAATCTGCACCGGCAAGGAGTGTCTGCCAAAGAAGTGTCCTCTTCCTTAATCCCTCAGGATCTTAAATTGTTATTATAATTAAATAACTTAAACAATTAAGATTTTTATTATGAATTATTCCTGTAATTTAGACCTCAGTCAGCGGGGGCAGCACACTCGGTGGTATCTTTGTTTTATGATCTTAAAAGCCACCGCTGGGTACCCTGGGAGGGCTCAGCCATTTGACGCTTTTGGGGGCCACCAAAGCGAATTACTGAGTTTATTGTGACGCGAGAACGGGGTGAAAAACTGGGTAAAACCAGAATTGTGTGAAAGGGGCCGATTCTGTGGGCCAGGTCTTGTAACGCCGCGCCCGCCAGGGGGCGCTCTCGTGGCGGCAGCCCGGCGCATGCGCACAGAGCCCCGGCGGGAGCGGGAGCGGAGGCGGCAGCGCTGGCGGCGGAGCAGCAGCAGCAGCAGGGGAGCGGGAGCGGCGGCGGCGCCCGGGTGGGGCTGTGCCTGCTGTGCGGGCTCCCCGCGGCCGGCAAGTCCAGCCTGGCCCGCGCCCTGTGCCGCCGGCTGCGGCAGCGCCCGGACTGGGCCTGCGCGCTCCTCCACTACGACGAGCTCATCCCGGACGAGGCCTTCCGCGCGCGCGCGCCGGGGGCGGGCCCGAGGGAGCCGCTCCCATTGGTCAGTGTGGCTGCGTCATTGCTGTGCGACTGCTGTTGCCAGGCAACGGGACGCGTCCGACTGGGACTGGGTGTTGGTCTGGGATTGGGAGTGGGACCTGGACTAGGGCTGGGGCTGGGACTGGAACTAGGACCGGGAACAAGACCGGGACTGGGTCTAGGACTGGGACTGGGACTGGGATTGGGACCCGGACTGGGACTGGGACTGAGACTGGGACTAAGAATGGCTCTGGGGTCAGGACCGGGCCCAGGCTGGTTCGGAGCGCTGCGGGTCCCCTTGTGGCCAGACGGGAGCTGTGCCAGCTCCGTGATTCCTGCCCTCACTCCCCCCGCAGGTGCCCGGCTGGAAGCAGAGCCGCCGCGAGCTGCTGCAGTGCCTGGAGGGTCTCTTGCGGGCGCTGCTCACCGGGGCGCCGCTGCCCGGCCCCGCACAGCCGGGGTGGGAGCGGTTCCTGCGCTGCTGCCGCCGGGAAGGGCTGCTGGAGGCGGCGCAGGGCGACGGCGGGGCCCCAGCACGGCCGCTCTGCCTCCTCCTGGACGACAACTTCTACTACCAGAGCATGCGGTACGAGGTGTACCAGCTGGCCAGAAAATGTGAGCGCTCCTTGTTCCGCGGCTGGAGGGTGCTTGTAGGAAATCCAGGGCACTTCAGCTGCTTTAAGTGCTCTCGTGGAACTTTGGTTATTCTTAATTGCTGGGTTCCTGCAGTACGATAAGGAGCAACTGAACTTTATTACTGTGTTATTAGAAATTGGTAGGACACTTAAAACCCTTCATAGAGCACCTTCCAGTACCTAAAAGGGCTCCAAGAGAGATGGAGAGAGACTTTGGACAAGGCATGGAGTGACAGGACAAAGAGGAATGGCTTCCCACTGACAGAGGGCAGGGTTAGATGGGATATTGGGAAGGAGTTCTTGGCTGTGAGGGTGGTGAGGCCCTGGCACAAGTTGCCCAAAGAAGCTGTGGCTGCCCCATCCCTGGAAGTGTCCAAGGCGAGGCTGGAAGGGGCTTGGAGCAACCTGGGCTAGTGGGAGGTGCCCCTGCCCATGGCAGGGGGTGGAATGAGATGGTCTTTAAGGTCCCTCCAAACCCAAACCATTCTGTGTTTCTGTGTTTTATCTCAGACATTATTGCTTGAGCAGCCTTGAAGGTAAAATTGTTGGTGTTCCTGTCTAGGTTTGTGTTCACATCAGGCTCAGAACTTGTGTAGAATCCCCTCAGTCATGCAGAGCCTTTCTCCTGTGTGTTGCTCTCAGAAATTGTTACTTGAACTGTTTAAAGATAAAATTGTCTTGTTCTGTTCGTTTTAGATTCCTTGGGCTTCTGCCAGTTGTTTTTAGACTGTCCCCTGGAATGCTGCCTGCAGAGGAATCGCCTCAGGAGTGATCCTGTACCTGAGCAGACAATACATTTAATGGCAAGGAAAATAGAAATGCCAGATCTCAAGAAAAACGCTTGGGAGCAGCACAGCCTCATTCTGAGAAGCTCTGATTGCATCTCAGAGGACAAGTATGCTACTGGATTGATCCTAGAGTTTTCCCTAAGTGCTGTTTTCATGACTGGATAGAAGCTCCTTATTGTATCTAAACAGTGTGTAAAAAATATTCCCAGTGGTGATTTTTGGAAGCCAGTCAGTTACAGGATACACAGGCTGGTTGTTGGGAGCTCACAGCCACCATCCTTTGCAGAGTTAACCTCAAAACTCACTGCATTCCTACCCTGACATTGAAAATCCATGTAAATTGCCTGAAACATTAAGACTGGAAATAATTGAGCTGTAACTGTTTTTCATCTCAGATCATTTCACTGATTGCCTCATAAATTTAACTGAAAACTTGCTCTTTTTTTTTTTTCCTGTGGTACCATTTCAAAATGGAAGAAAAATGTCAGTGAATCTGTTTGATTGATGTGTTTTACTCTGTTGTTTGTTTTCTTAGTGAGCAGATAATTAACCTGCTGGCCACTGCTCTGGAAAATCCAGCGAGGCCAAACGAGGAGGACACGGAGCAAAAGGTAGCACTGCTTGTCTTCAGGTGGTGACTGAGGTGCTGCTAAGGTGTTACTTGTTTCCAAAGTGAGATAAATTTAAAGTGTTTGCTTGTTTTCTCCCTTTCTGCTGGCCCTGGGCAGGACACAGATCGAGCCATCTGCGCAGCCAGTGCTGTCCACCAGGCTGACCAGGCGTGCAGGAGGGTCATCTCTCAGGCCATGAAGGATGCCAGAGGTACATGTTCTACCTGTCCCACCCATCCTACCCATCCCAGCTGCTGGTTGGCAGTGGGAGACTAAACCTGTGGAGTTCCCTTGGGGAGAATTGTTCAGGAATCCTGTCCCAGCAGGTGTGACCGAGGGAATCGCCTTCACAGGTCTGGTCACAGTTATTTGTGGAACATGAGTCAAAGTCTGTAGGTTTAAAACCCAGTATAATATTTATTAACTGTATTAAATACAGCTTTAATAAACCCATTTAGTCCAGACCAGCATTTTAGAGGATTTTAGTTCATAGGATTTATATGATTAGCAACTCTGTGCATGTGTTCAAGGTTCTCTCTGTTCACCAGACACAGGACCCAAGGAACAGCTGGAGTTGTGCCAGGGGAGGGTTAGGTTGGATAGTAGGAAAAGGTTCTTCCCCAGAGGGTGGTTGGGCACTGCCCAGGCTCCCCAGGGCAGTGGGCACAGCACCAAGGCTGCCAGAGCTCCAGGAGCGTTTGGACAACGCTCTCAGGCACAGGGTGGGATTGTTGGGGTGTCCTGGGCAGGGCCAGGAGTTGGACTGATGATCCTTGTGGGTCCCTCCCAACTCAGTGTATTCTGTGACTCTACAATTCTATGATTTTGTCTTTAAGATGAAGTTAAAAGTTCAACTTTAATTTTCTTTAGACAAAAACGTTCCCCCAAGTGAGATGAAGAGCCTGGCAGAAGAACTCAACAAACTGAAGGCAGAATTTTTGGAAGACTTGAGGCAAGGAAAGACTTTGAAAAACCAAAATTCTGACCCTGCTACGAGTGTAATTTCTTCATTCCAACGTGAGGCAACCAATGTAGTCAATAAATATATTTTAAAATAATGACAGAGAATGTTGGGTGTTTAAATTGCAGTACTGCTGAGAGATCCCTTCTGTGACTCCTCTCTTCATAGTATGGAAGAGAAACACAGTCTAAACAGAATGGAGATCAAGCCAAGAGCAAACCATCCTTAAATTTAAATTTCATAGAATCAGAGAAGAATTTAGCCTGGGAAGAGCACTTGGAAGTCATCTACTCCTGTTTCCTGCTTACCATGGGACTGACCTCGACCCACAGCCTCCTTCAGATGAGATTCTGAGGAGCACCTTGGCTGGTGACCTGCTCTGCTCTGTCCAGCAGCCCCTGAGCAATCCCAGAGGTGAGTTTATCCTCCTTACCATATCTAGATCCCATTTAGTCCTGAGCAGATCACGAGCTCCACTTGTGGTAGCACATGCAATTAAGAATTAACACGGGACCTAATTAGAAAGTGTTATTTTATTCATATCTTACAAAAGCAAAGCTTCACAACATGAACTACACGTGATAGAGTTATTTCAGAATTAACCTTGTCATCTCAAAAACATTCACTAACATTAAAATTTATTTTACAACTCTAACAGGTTTCGTTTTTGCATAAAATATGCTCTTTACACTGAAATACATATTATTAACAAGTAGGTACTTTGAAGCACATACACCAAGATTGCTCAATGAAAAATGCTTCAGCAGGAGAGAGATTTCCTGCAGCAGAACATCCATTTGCTGTAGATTTTCAGAGAAGCTTAAAATTAATAGAAAACTTGCCAGTGAAGACTTCTAAGTTACATTCCCTTCGTCAAAAAGAAACAAAAATCAACACCCCCCTCAAACATTCTGGAACAAAACAAACAGCAAGAGATTATTTGGATAGAAAACACTGCTGGAACATGTCACCCAGCACTGAGTTTTATATTAAAATGCCAACCAACATTTTATGTCAAAATCCTCTTCATCTAAACATGTGTCTGTGAAAAAACAACTATTTTCCCCTATTAGCTGCTTTGGAGTTGGTTTAAGTATTAACTGAGATAATTAAGATGTTCAAATATTTATTGGAATATTCAGTCTCAGTTAAGTCTGTATTGAGTGCTACGAATAGTGCATGTTGAAATGTCCACAAAGCCATAAAATAATCTCTTACAATAAAAACAAAAACTTCACAAAATTCGTGTTTTGCAACTACAGAACCTAACAGAACCAAGCTATGGAAAAATTTCATTTCCTTCCAAAACTTCCCTGTTAATAAAATGCTAATCACCCACCACCTTATAATATGAGGATTTGTTTTTTAAAAAGAAACAAGTTAGTGCATTGTAGCACATGGAGAACTAGATATGAAAAGTCCCTCTGACTGAGAACTCAATCCCAGAATCCTGGACAAGTATCCCACACTGACAGGGTAAGGCCTGCTTGGGCAAGGGAATCATCAGGATCAAACTCTCAAACAATTTGCCAGTCTTTAAATTGTAGTCAAGAGGATGCACAAATTATGAAAAATAGGCCAATACCCCTTCCAAGGCTCCTCAGTGGAGAAGGGAACAGCAGTGTCAGGGAGTTGTTTGGCACAACAGCATGAGGAGGAAACAAGAAGAATCCTACCCCTGGTGTGACCCTCTGTGAAGGATGCAGGGATCCACCCCAGGGATCTGGGTGCAGAGCCAAGGGACAAACACCAAAGCTGCTGCTGCCCAGGAACCCCTCCAGAGAGGAGTTTGCCCAAGGAAACAGGGAAGTGTTCCTAGCATTGTTCAGCTGTTCGTAGATGTCCAAGCTAATCTTCTTTTCCTGAGGAATTCCAAAGCAGAAACAATGGTATCCTGGCAGCAGCATTAAAATCCTTCCAAACAACAATTTGCAAGGTTTGGGGTTAGATTTTTTTTTTCCCCACACTGAGTTCTGTTATTAAGAACATATTTTCTCCACAACTGAGGATCCTCTCCTAAATGAAGGCCCCTTTTCCATCAGATCCTGCAGGCTTCTTCTTACTCCCAGTGACCTGACCAGCTTCCTATCCTTAACTTTTTCCAAGGGCATCGTGGTTCAGAAGTCATTTTTCTAAATCCCCAAACCATGAGCTGTCACACACAAAAAAAGTCTGTAACTGTTTACAGGCGCTGCCAGCAAAAGTCCTACTGGATCAGAAACCACATCAATGGGATGGAGGGAGGGAATCCTAAACATTTGTGCACATGGAAGTCAATCTCCCTGCTGCTACCAGGAGGGAGAAAGGCTGGAGCCACAAACCAAGGAGAACCTGGCTGTTGTGACTGGTGCCATTCCACACTGCAAGGTGCTCCCTGGAGCACCACCATTCCAGAAGCTTCCTTGGAGCTGCTAGAGCCTCGGAATAGGAGACTGCATTATCTATCAAAAAGGCAAGGAAAACCACTTCTATAAATTACTAATCATAAAGTTAATTCTCTTATCCTAATACTGTATTTTTAGCCAAATGTAGATTTTAGAATCTGCCAGTATGTGATGCAGAGGGAACCACCTTTCCTGTCCTCTTTGACTGGAACAGGCATCTTACAAAACCCGTTCAGGAGCAGTTACTTCCAACTGGATTCCAGTTCAGTCAGCTTTTAGTCCTTAAAATAAAGGACTCTCCATGCACACAGAATTGCAGCTTTACTGATAAAATAAATTTTAAAAGTATAAAGCAACAGAGGGATGTTTTGGAATTATGAAGAGTGTAATGATGAAAAATGGAAATTACATTCTGCTTTACAAATCCACACAACTGGATTTTGAACCAGGCCTGAAACCAATTACTTTTAGGAGTGACAGTGTGTTATTATTGTTCATCTTCACTATGCTGGAACCACTCCAGTGGCAGATTTCTGACCTCATTACTACAAGATTGTGCACAGCCAACAATCCAGTCCCCTCAGCTGGTTACCTAAGCACAGAAAATCAACAGGAGGTAAGTCAGGTAGAGAGAAACATGCCTGGTGTCCAAATTTCTATTTAATTAAAGTCAAAATTACTTCTAAAGCTAAAATTCTCAGACACATGGTTTTTCCTGCATTGACCTTACACTGACGTCACTGTTAGTGTTTTTCTATTGGCTCCAGGAAGTTTTAGCTCCCAGAACAGTATAAATTTGCATAAGCCAAACATTTGTTATTCAGATTCCAACCAATTTGCTGACAGGAAAAAGGGAATACACAAGGGAAGCTTAAATTTGTCTCAAGTAAGACAAACCAAGGTAAAAGTGCACGTCTAAATATGGGAAAAGTAACAGTTCTCCTTTTTTTTTAATGTCTCAAATTCCTATCTAGCATATTAAGGGTTATTATTAATTTTGCTCAGATGTTTTATTTAGGTTTAAAGTGCCTGTCCGTTACCTTGGGGGCTTCTAAAATAAGATGTACAGTATGAAACAAAATAATAATTTTCAGTTACCATTTGCTACCTAAAATTCCTAAAGCCAGTGTAGTTCCTTTGCCTCCTACATGGACAGCTCAGAAAAGCCAGAGGCCCTTCCCCTTATTTCCACACACAAAAGACACCCAAAAGACATTAAATCTGGGAGATGGAATAAAAGAGACCTCCAAGTCAGCTGAATTTACAATAAACTAGATCATATAACCCTCAAACATACAGGCAACGTCTCAGTTGTAGCCTGGCCCAACATAAAACTGAACAAAGGAGTTTTAATTTGTAAACCTCTTGTTTGTTCCTATTAGCACTCCTGTCAGCAAGACAGAAGTCTAATTGTGCAAATTTTAAATATCTGTACAAATTAGTTTAAGGCAGTTAGAAGTCTCACAGAATATATATATTAGTTCTACAAGCTCTTTATTATGTCTGTTTAAAAATTACCTCCTCTGAAAAAGATGTGAATTTTGGAAAGTGTAGGTTAAAATAAGGTATTCTGTTTAATTTTTTGTTTGTATAACTCAGGAATGACAAGCTTTTAATTCTTTTTTTTTTTCTACCAGAGTTTTATTCCCAATAACCCATTACCTTCTAGTTTTGTGATGAGTTTTTAAAATAGTTAAATTAGTGTTTGAGCCCTAGAGTGAAGAGTGTAGGCTTCTAAAAAGAAACTTATTATAAACCTTCATTGGATTAAAGCAACTTTTACATCAAATTGAATTTGTATGTGGAAGTTGCTTCTGTTTGCTTTTCAGGTTTAGAGTAGCCAAGTTTTTAAGGATAAATATGTCTCCAAAGTAGCCATATAGAATCACAGAGTGGTTTGGGTTGGAAGGGACCTTAAAGATGATTTAATTCCAACCCCGTTGCCATGGGCAAGGACGCTTTCCACTAGCCCAGGTTGCTCCAAGCCCTGTCCAACCTGGCCTTGGACACTCCCAGGGATCCAGGGGCAGCCACAGCTTCTCTGGGCAACCTGTGCCAGGGCCTCCCCACCCTCACAGCCAAGAATTCCTTCCCAATATCCAGTCTAACCCTGTCCTCTGCCAGTCCTTGTCCTGTCACTACTTGGTATGCCACTGCATTAACCTTTCATATTTTATGGATAATGTGGCTTGTCCAGCCTAGTAAATACTCTGGTAGTGACATCCTATGGTTCAGGACACACACTCTGCTTCTCCATTTGCAGAATGTTTATTGGAATTAAGTGCAAGCAACTTAAATTTAGCAATCACAGCATGTAAATGCATTCCAATCCTGACAGCACTCTTGGCTTTCTTTGAAAGGCTACATATAAAAGAACAACCAAATCCTACACAAAATTTCCCTGGCAAGTTTTACAACAACACGGAAATAAATGTGCCTCCTTTGTCGAATCGACTAGTGTGAATATTCCATATGGGAATGTGCAAGCTTTCCATCAGCAAGTATGAAAAATAGACTGTAATATGTTAAAAAACTAAACCAAAGCATGTCTCAGTCAATGTTGATTATGTTGGCCTCTTGCAAAGTGGCAAGCGAAGTCGTACTTGTTTTTACACTTACACCCACAGATGTTGCACTGGAAAGGATTTTCAAATCCATGACATCCCATGTGAATTGTATAAAGGATATTGTCTGCAAAGTACATGTCACAGTGTGGGCAGTGATGCAGAAGCTGAGGGTCCTGGACTGGGAGGGTTGGAGCTGGAGTACTTGGCTGGCTGTTACTTATACTGGGAGTACTGGTGTGGGCGCTGCGATCGCTGCTGGGCCCGGCCACAGGACTATAGTTCCTTTGATTTTGTGGAGGCCGAGGATCTGGGCTGGTTGGAGATGAGTTTTGAGGAATATTTGCTGACACAGCTGAAACCACTGCAGGTGCAGCAGGCTGCTGGATCATGAAAGGCTTTTCATCCTGACAGGAAACAACGTCAGGAGAGGCTGGATTTTGGTTTTCAGGTGGCAAGCTGGACAATTGTCCAGCCAACGTGGAGAGCTGGTTTAAAGGATTATCCACCATGAGGTCTTGTGGATCTCTTGGCAACCCTCCACTCTGAGCCGTTTTTGCCATGCCCTCGTACGCTTCAGTCTGGATATTTGGGATTTCGTGGGTGAAGTCATTAAGGTAGTCTGGTTTCTGCACCACCATGGAAGGTGGGCTCAAATTAATTAATGCTCTTCTGCTGTACCCCAAATTGCTGGTCTTCTTCTGCAA